TTTGTTTACAATTTAACATCTACAGACGGACGGACATGCGTAAATCGACTCAGAAAGTGATTCTATGCATAATTTCAAAAGGAGCCATGTGTCTATCTCGTTTCCTTTTGCCTGTTACAAACATATGCACAAAGACATAATACCCTGTACCACAGTGTGGTGAAGGGTATAAAAAGTTAACATTTTATAAATAATTTTGCTCCTTTCCCAAAAATGGCAACCCTGAGTATAACATTTAACCCTTGAACAAAAATCTGTTTTTATGTCCACAAAAATGTTAGACGGGAATAGAGTCGAGTAATTTTCTATGTTTCCGTTAGGGAAATCATAATTCATGGCATTTGCTACTCAAAAACAAAAAAAAGAACAGCTAACTAAATCCATGGCTCCCAAAAATAAAAAGAAAACAAACACTAAAGATAAACATGAACGCCGGACCGACACTGTGTTTATTTTTGTTTGGATAGGCGGAACAGCGAACAAACACACAAAAAAAGGGTCAACAAAGAACAAAAGCCAAAGTAGCACTTCTTTTCCATAGCTTTTCCCCCCTTACTTCCTCTATTCCATTTCAACTTCTCGCTTATCGTCCCGGTTTTTCGTCTAATTGTCTAAAATTCTTCATTAAGTCGTAAATTAATTCCACAAAAATAGAAGGAGAAAAAAAAAACGAAATGAAAATCCTAATAAACGACGCTAATTTGTCGGGCCCTTAAAAACACTTTGGAAGGATGTGATTCAAATGGGGGAATGGGAATAGGTTATTCCATATGATGACTGTTTTCTTTTGGCCACCACTTCTTCATAATAAATATGTGTGAAACAAAAGCGAAATAAACAAAACACTTATGGGATTTATTTGTTGTCCATGGGAATATTGTACTTGAAGTGCTTAATTGCTAGACACACACACACACAGATAAAGGGGAAAATTTTTGATTTTCGTTAAAAAAAATATAAGAATAAATAATTTTTGAAAAAAAATAACAACAATTTCGAATGAATTCTTTTTTATAATTTTTAGATTGAAAAATATGCCAAAAATCATTTTTTGTTGAAGAATATTTTCCAGTCGATTCAGACCGCATTCCATGAAACGAGAGTAGTAACACGATGCGAAAGTATAATACCAGATAGATAACAATGGAATAGCGGAACACTAGTTCACAGATGGCATAAAGGACCACGATCTGAGAATCTGCACTTGGAATGTGCGCACGTTGTACAGAACAGGCGCAGTGTTCGCTTTGGCGGATGTACTCAAGAAGTACAAAGCCGATATTATTACCTTACAGGAAATGCGATGGAAATCAGATGAAACGAGACATGAATTTGGCTGCGGATTTATGGTTAACAGGAGAATAGAAGACCTCGTCTCCAGATTCACTCCAGTAGATTAGCGAATTGCTATATAATTCGTATAAAAGCGAAGTTCTTCTACATCAGTCTCATTTGCGCCCATGCTCCGAACGAAGATAACGATGAACAGACCAAAGACATCTTTTATGAGCGTCTAGAAACAGCACATGATCGTTGCCCTGGCCATGACATTAAAATTCTGCTAGGAGATTTTAATGCAAACATCGGAAGGGAAAATATCTTTGGCCCCACCGTCGGAAAATTCAGCCTCCATGAAGAAATATCAGACAAGGGCATGATATTGATTGAATTCGCGGCAGCGAAAAACAACTACCAGCACCAGATTCAAGCATCTCGATATACACAAGGCCACTTGGATTTCTCCCGATCGAACAACGAGAAATCAAATCGATAATGTTGTGATATACGGAAGGCATTCATCCAGTGTTTTAGACGTCCGATTGATCCGGGGAGCGAATATCGATTCGGAGCATTACCTTGTGGCAGCCAAGGTACGCACCCGTCTTAATGTAGCAGCAAAGGTGCGATGTAATGTAACACGGAGATTTAACGTCGAAAAGCTGCAAACACAACAGATAGCAGAAGCCTACTCCGCTCAACTTAATCAACTGCTTGACGAAAGCACCCCTTATCCCGATAATAACATAGAAGCACAATGGCAGAGAATTGCCCACTCCCTACAAACTGCAGCAAAAGCAACACTTGGGTATCAAAGACCACCATCAAGAAATCCGTGGTACGATCAGGAGTGTCGTAATGTTACTGATATGAAAAACGCAGCGTATAAGGAAACCCTGCGGACAGTAGCAACGCGTAATGCGTGGAGAACTATCGGGAGAAAAGGAGTGAGGAGAAACGTATTTTCAGAAAAAATAAAGGGCTAGAAAAACGTGAGCGTAAGCAAATCGAGATGTACAGGAGTCAGAATAAAGTCTGAAAATTCTATCAATGGGTAAAACACCAAACCGAAGGTTTTGGTGCTGGCACATCCTCCTGTAGAGATAAAGAAGGAAACCTGGTGACACATACAGACAGCGTGCTGAGGATCTGGAAGGAGCATTTTGAGAAACTTCTGGTATCAAAAAGTTGCAGTGAAGTGGATACCCCAGAACCAATAATAGATGACGGTATAGAGTGTATATCACCTAGCCAAGATGAAGTCAGAATAGCAATCAATCGGCTGAAGAATATTACAGCAACAGGTACCGATGGGTTACAAGCCGAACTATTCAAGACTGGTGGTCTGATGCTGGTCAGGAGCATGCACCAGCTAATTAGTACAATTTGGCTAGAAGAATGCATGCCCAATGATTGGAACTTTAGCATCCTGTGGACAAAAAAGGAGACAAGTCACCTTCCCAGCGTACTGTGTGAAAGACAGAAGCCAATGGTCAATGACATTATTGGACCATATCCACCATTGACCACATCTTCACTCTGCGCCTGGAAAAAACCCACGAAAAACACATCGACACATTCCACCTATTCGTCGACTATAAACCCGGATTCGACAGCCCTATCCGTTCAGAAGTGTAACCAATCTGAGGGGGTGTGAATGGAGAAGATTGAAGAAGTTCGCAAAAAAAAAACACGGAATTCCTAGATTCATAGGGTAATCAAACCCAAATGTTTTTAATATAAACATTCAATAATTCTTGATTTGACTTTCTCCGCATTTCTAAAGCCCACAACAGGCCTCAAATGGCTTATGTGTATGTCCTTCTCATGTTGGACATGTGGTAGTAACCTAACCCAACCTTCTGAAAATGAGTTTTTTATTCGCCGGGAACACGGAATGTCAATTATACCGAAAATGGTTCACGTCCCACAATATAATGGGATTATATCAAAATATGGAACTATATCGAAAATTTTGGTCAAACAAGTTATAAAAGGTTATAAACCTTAAAGATTTGCACACCTTTAAGGTTTATATCCATTTCCGATGTCCAAATAAAGAACTATGTAGATATATAGCCATATAGCCTACCCTACAAGAACCCAGAGAATGTGTCTATTCTTCAAACTAAAAATAGAGCAATACTTTATTATGAGAACTATTTATGTCTTGACATAGCCCTCATATGCATTTTCGGTATTTTTGGGGGTTTTATCCCCATTTTCAAACAGAAAATCATTAATAGTCTATTATTCCAAGTCGGGTTGAGAATTTTGTTTGAAATTGGAAGAAGACACGCTTAAGTAGTTGTAGGTTTAAATAAAATAATTAAAAACCATTGTTATTGAATCCGAACTTGTGGACCTATTAGACCTATTTGGATAATCCTCACTCTTGGATACTCCTCGCTCTTGTAAAAGTTTATCCAGCATAGTCGTTTTATTAGAACGAAACTGTAAAACGCAGTACTCCAAGAATCGCCGAACTATTCAAGACCGGTGGTCAGATGCTGGTCAGGAGCACGCACCAGCTGATTAGTACAATTTGGCTAGAGGAATGCTTGTCCAATAATTGGAACTTCAGCCTCCTGTGTCCCGTGCACAAAAAAGACAAAACAAGACAAGATATGTGCCAACTATAGAGGGATTAGCCTCCCTCTCATCGCATATAAAGTGCTATTCAGCGTGCTGTGTGAACGACTGAAATCAATGATCAATAATTGAATCTCATCAATGCGGCTTCAGACCTGACGCCAAAAGACCCACGAAAAACACATCGACACATTCCACCTATTTGTCGACTATAAAGCCCAATCCGCTCAGAGGTGTTTAAAGCTATGTCTGCCTTAATGAGGCTATGTAGGAGAACTTTAAATGGCACAAGGTCAGCAGTTAAAGTAGTTAAAAGGACCTCTAGGAGCCCTTCAATACCGTGGCAGTTTGTTCTGTGACCTTTTTAGCATTCTGTTGGAAAAGGTCATACGAGATTCAACAGTGAACAGAAATGACACTCTGTACACCAAAACCACTTGTTACTCGCCTACGCCGATGACATCGACATAATGGGTCGAACATTGGGAGCGGTAACAGCCACCTTTGAACTAATTGAGAAGGAGTCTGCAAAATTGTTGCTGGCAATAAAAGGCAGCTTCGAGGAAGGATAGTGTTGGCCAACAAATGCTACTATGTTCTGAATAAGCAGTTCAAAAACAAATGCACCTCTCGCCAGACCAAACTCTCACTATACAAGACGCTGATACTAACCGTACTGTTATATGGATCTGAAGCATGGGTACATGCGGAAGCAGATGAGGCAGCTCTTGGAGTGTTTGAGATAAAAATTCTCCGAAAGATCTATGGGTCGATTTGCGTCGACGGTGAATATCGCAGTGGAATGAACCATGGACTGTACCACCTATTCTCTGACATCGACATATTCTCTGACATCGACATGTTGTGAGAAAAATAACGACGCCCCAGATTAAAGGGTCACGAATTCGATGAAAAGGTCAATTAGAAGAGAACATTTCGGAACATAGTCTTTCAAATTTGAAGAGCTGCGCACAAGACCGATGCGCCTGGAAATCTTTTTTTAAGATTGACCTATGGAACAAATGTTCTTTAATTGCAAACACTGGAAAGGAGGTCTAGTAATAAAGAATATGTATACACGTGTGCTCTTGGCCTACAAAATATACACAGATAATTATGTTTACACTCACCTCAGTGCCTTGTACTTTAAGTTTCATGTGATCTTCACGTGTCGTTTTGCCATCTTTGCGTTTCTTCCAACAGTAGCCGTCACGTCGATAACGCACCTTCTTACGTGAGTAAAGTAGTAGAGAGCCACTTTTCGGTCTGAAAGAAAAAAAAATAACCAAAATTAGCAACGCATTTTCAAAAGGGAATACAAAAATATAAATTTACAGTAAAACACAATCATAACCAGATCGAACTTTTTATACCCGCCACCATAAGGTGGATTCTAAAAATACCTAAAATCATTAGGGATACATGTATGGGAAATAGGAAAACTGGCATAGGGCCTTGAACATGCCGAAAATGACGATTGATGGTTTAGAAATATACCCGCAAATTTGCGGTTCCGTCATATGGCATAGATAATAATTTGGCACCCAATGATAACCCAAGCGCCTCACTTAAAATTGGGCTACAAGTTATCCTTGATGGTGGTTTTCTATCCAATGAGGCAATTTGGTTGGAAAACGTTACTACACGTTACAAAATATCTAAATTTGGGAATTATATTTATATCGAACTGGCCTGAAAATGAGAACCCAAAATTCCAAATTTCGGTTGAAAAAAGTGGTCAAAATCAAAAAATCGAATATTGCGGTGATGTCGTTATATGAGGTGTATATCAAAACATGGACCGATATATTTCAGTTTTTATATCAAACGGGGTATTATTTCAATTGTCTAGAATTATTAGCATTTCATGTGGAAATTTTCAAAGCTATATCTTCGAACACTTTGTTTTGTGGTTTTCATGGTGATTTTTAATTTTTATTATACCCTACACAATTATGTTGTCAGGGTATTATAGCTTTGTGCAGTTTGTAACGCCGCGAAATATTGGTCCTAGACCCACTTTTAAGTATACCGATCGTCATATCTCGACTAGCTGAGTCGATCTAGACATGTGTGTCCGTCCATCCGTCTGTCCATTATAATTTGGAAACACGATACAGGCCACAATCTTCCAATCTTCACGAAATTTTGTTCGGCCGGTTAATATTTAGGAGATGAAATGGACCAAAAACTTTATTTTTGTCGGTTTTTCTGGTCGCTCCAGAGGCCGCAATTATGGCCCAAACACCCCGGATGCGGGAGTTACACTGAAATATTTACAGGTGCTTACGTATTCATATATTATTTAGTAACTTATTACCACAATGGAGGGCGGAAATATAGCGCTGATCGCTTTGAAATGTTCCATGAGGTTCCAGTTGTGGTCAAGGACAACGCTTAAAATGTTAGGTGATGATCAGATAATAATTTTTCGGATGAAGTGGACCGAAAACTTAATTATTTGTACTTTTCGAGTCGAAAGCCGAACATCACAACCCAATCCACGGTGAAGTAATTAGAGGGACTATACTGATTATTAGTAACATTTGCTGACCTCTATCCAGTCAAAAGGGTGCAAATATCGCGAAATATTGCCCAATCTGAGAATATAGAACCACAGAATGTTAGATTTTCATGGAAGTTGTGTAGGGTATCGTATGGTCGTCCCCGTCCGACTATACTGCTCCGCTCACTGGTTCATTTTTGAAGCCGATAATTATTTTTAAATAAAAATATTCAATGTCGTGTAATGTGGACCACTATAAAAGAGTGGGACCTTTTCATGAGGACGAGTTCGAAACATGGGCGCAAGGAGGTATTCTATCCTCTGAAAACTCGATATGCGAAAGGACCTTCAAATGGGTCGGTACCCTTAAATGGGGGCTATTCCAAAACATGAACCCATATATTTTTCTATTCATTGTTAACCGAAAGTGCAATAAATTGAAATTTATCACAACCAATCCACAACCTACCTTTAACTTACTGATCCTCATTGCCCACACATACTGGTCCACATTACGCGCCAAGTTATTTTTATACGCAGTTTAGAGTTTTTTTGAAATCTACCGTTGTTACGCCCACAATATCAAAAAAAGAATATGGTGGTCTACATTACCCGAAATTACTCTAAATGTTCGGGTCAGGATTGTGGCCTCTAGAGCAGAAAAAACCAGTAAGAAAAGTAGTAAAGTCGGACGGGGCCGACTATATTATACCCTTTACTACTTTCGGAATATTCAGAAGATGCATCCTAACAGATGTCGCATTTTTGAAGGTATTTTGAAGTGAAATTGAAGTAAATTAAATATGAAGTCTGTATTTATACGGCCTAAATCGGACGAACGTATATATGGGAGCTATATCTAAATCTGAACCGATTTCAATAAAACTTGGTACACGTTGAGCTATACTAACTTGAGTACGTTGTGCAAAATTTCGTGCCAATCGGCCTAAATTTGACACTTTGGTGTACCATTTACTAAAAATCGGACGAAAGTATATATGGGAGCTATATCTAAATCTGAACCAATTAAAAAAAAACTTGGCACACGTTGGGTTATACAAACTTCAGTACGTTGTGCAAAATTTCGTGACAATCGGCCAAAATTTGTCTTTTTGGTGTACCATTTACTAAAAATCGGACGAAAATATATATGGGATCTATATCTAAACCTGAACCGATTTCAAAAAAAAAAAAAAATAGCACACGTTAGGCGATCCTAACTTCAGTATGTTGTGCAAAATTTCGTACCAATCGGTCAAAATTTGAATCCTTGGTGCACCTTTTACTAAAAATCGGACGAAAATATATATGGGAGCTATTTCAAAATCTGAATCGATTTTAATAAAACTTGGTACACGTTGAGCTATACTAGCTTCAGTACGTTGTGCAAAATATCGTGTCGATCGCCCTAAATTTGACTCTTTGGTGCACCTTTTACTAAAAATCGGACGAAAATATATATGGGAGCTATATCTAAATCTGAATCGATTTCAATAAAACTTGGCACACGTTAGGCGATCCTAACTTCAGTGCGTTGTGCAAAATTTCGTGACAATCTTCCTAAATTTGACTCTTTGGCGCACCTTTTACTAAAAATCGGACGAAAAATATATATGGGAGCTATATCTAAATCTGAACCGATTTCAAAAAAAAAAAATAAAATAAAAACTAGCACACGTTAGGCGATCCTAACTTTAGTATGTTGTGCAAAATTTCGTACCAATCGGTCAAAATTTGAATCTTTGGTGCACCTTTTACTAAAAATCGGACGAAAATATATATGGGAGCTATTTCAAAATCTGAATCGATTTTAATAAAACTTGGTACACGTTGAGCTATACTAGCTTCAGTACGTTGTGCAAAATATCGTGTCAATCGCCCTAAATTTGACTCTTTGGTGCATTATTTATTAAAAATCGGACGAAAGTATATATGGGAGCTATATCTAAATCTGAATCGATTTCAATAAAACTTGGCACACGTTAGGCTATCCTAACTTCAGTCCGTTGTGCAAAATTTCGTGCCAATCGGTCTAAATTTGACTCTTCGGAGCACCATTTACTAAAAATCTTACGAAAATATATATGGGAGCTATATCGAAATCTGAACCGACTTTCCCCAATTTCAGTAGGGTTCGTTTCCTTTGTCGATTACTAGGTTTTTTAATTATTTTACATTTTTGTATATATTTTGTTGTTAAAAAATTTAATTTTTCTCACAGAAAAAAAATATCGCATGACTCACCTTGTTTTGACTTCTTTCGATTGCCATTCATTGTGTTTATCAAAACTGATAAGAATCGCAGCGATTTCCTGAAATAGTAAACAAGAAAAAAAGGAAAAAGAAATAAAAAAACGTTTTATTTTAGTTGAAATATTATAAAAAACAGAAGAAGAAGACTCGTCTCGCTCACTTGTAATCTCACAAGTAGTAATAATTGTGTCTTGACATAAGACAACATTTAGATAAAGCAATTTTAATTTATGACACTTAGATATACAACATACGTACACATATATACATTTTGAAGAGCAACAACAAAATATACACATGTATAAAAAAACAAAAACAAAAAAAGGAGAGTATTTATCTTAAGACCAAGAAGATAGAAAATTAAATGCGGCTACATGAATGAATTCCTAGAAAAGTGGATTTAGAAAAAAGTATTTAATACAAAAAAAATACTTTAATATTTTTTATAGGTTAGGTAAGTGAAGAGATGAGCATACCTCAGACTGTTCAGGGGCAAAATATTTGAAAATAATCCACAAAAATATTATATACTGTAAAATTTGTTTTAAATAAAAATTTATTTACATTTCTTTAAAAATAAAAAAAAATGCTGAATTTTCAAAATCTCACACGTTACTCAACTTGCTGGAAATTCATAAATATTTTATTGGAATTTCAAGGACTCTCCCACACACACATGTACCGAACATTATAAATAAATTTTGTGTATATTTCAATGATTTTATTATTGGCATTATTTCTGTGGATGCCTTTTCATTTTATTTGCCATAACTCTTCCTTTCATCGTTTACCTCTTTTTTCCTTCTTTATTATGCAAAGGACATGTCTTACATATGTAATAGCCTCAAATGTCATCATAAATATTTCCACGAAAAGAAAAAACCAACCACAAGGACACTTATAGCTAGCTAGTGCATTGTAAAATATCATAAAAAATTGCTTTTGTATGTGGAAAATTCGCAGAGAAATCAAAGAGGAATGCTGAAGACGCTGATTGAATGAAAAAGTATTTGCGTCAAATACCCCCGAAAGTAAGTGCTAAACAAAACAGCAACAACAAATATGAATGAATGAATCAAACATTCGCATTGAGTGCCCATTTAGTATTTTTTTATTTGTAGCAAAGGAAAACGGAAATAAACCTTAACGGATTTCATGTTTTGAGATATTTGCCCGCTTAGGACAAATGGCGGATATTTTATTTGACTTATTAATGCGAATAACACATACTCAATGGAATTTCCTTAGCTGGTTGCTATGATGCTCCTTAAAGTATATGAAAAAAGTAGTAGGGGTCATGTTACTATGAGCACAGTGGCTAAGAAAAGTTTTTGAGGACAGGAAAAATATAAGAAAACAATAATTGGATAGCAGCCTTTGTATAGAAAATACCATAGATATATTTTTTTAATATTTTATAGGAAAATATATTTATATTTAAAAAAAAATTAAGGCCTTGATAAATTCTAGATATAAAATATAAAGAAGAAACTATGATATATTCTAAAATTAAAATTTTTTAAAATTTGAGTTGTATTTTTTCCTAGAAAGAAATTAGGTCTTGGAATTTTATAAAATCAATAAAACGATTTAACAAGCCTTTAACATTTTCCAAAAAAGTATTATTAATATTTTCAAGCCTTCATAATTTTTAAAAAATATTTTTTTAAGAAACCAAAAATATATTTTTTGGTTGTGAATTCAGGCCTCCACACTTTCTAAAATGTTTTAAAAATAAGTATGTACTTCATATAATTGTTTAATCTACATATTTCCTAAAATATAATAAACGGCTTTCATATTATTTAAAATATATTTTATATTTATTTTTTTTAATCCGGGTTTAATATGTTCTAAAAAATCTTTATGTTTTTAATTCCCGCCTCAATAGTCTTTCGAAAATATTTTTTAGAAAATCAAAAAACGGTGGTCTTTGAAAAAATTATTTTAAAAAATCCACGTCTCGATGGGTTATCTAAAATAATTTGAAATAAAATCCAATCTTCTATATAATAATTATTAGAAAAATCCACGCCTTGGTTTTAAAAATTCTTAGTCTTGAATGTCTTTGAAAAAATATTTTTTAATAAAAATCCATGCCCTCAATTCCTAGCCTCAAATATCGTTGAAAAAATGTTTTTTAATAGTCTTTAAAATTTTATTTTAAAAAATCCACACTTCGATTGTCTTTGAAAAATATATATTTTTCTAAAATCCTCGCCCAGGTAGTCTTTGAAAAAATATTATTTAAAAAATTCACGACTCGATTGTCATCAAAAAGTGTTTTTTAATAAATCCACGCCTCGATTATCATCAAAACATATTTTTTAATAATTGAAAAAATGTTTTTTTTTAATAAATCTACGCATCAATTATCATCTCAAAAAAAAAATTCAAAAAATGCACACCTCGATTGCCTTTGAAATTTTGTTTTAAAAATTCCACATCGGTGGTCTTAGTAAAAATACACGTTAGAAAATCCACGACTCGATGGCCTTTGAAAAATTAGTTTAACAAAATTTAAGTATTTATATTTTGTAAGAAAAAAGTCCAGGCCTTCATAATTTTTAAAAAATCAACATCTTAATATTTTTTTACCCTTATAATTAAAAGAAATGTAGAAATCATGTCTTGATATTTTCTAAAAATATATTTTTTGTTTTAAATTTATGCCTTTACATTTTCTAAAATGTTTTAAAAAAAAGGGATTCGTAAATTTTTAAATATACATATTTTTATACCCTACACAACAATGTTGTTAGGGTATTATAGCTTTGACCCACCTCTAAGTATACCGATCGTCATATCTCGACTAGCTGAGTCGATCTAGACATGTGTGTCCGTCCGTCTGTCCATTATAAATTGTAAACACGATACAGGCCACAGTTATGGGCCAATCTTCACGAAATTTTGCATGTAGGATGGTTTCTGGGCAATGACGACCCCTATTGTTTTTGGTAAAGATCGGTTAATATTTAGGGGATGAAATGGACCAAATACTTAATTTTTGTCCTTTTTTTCTGGTCCCTCCATAGGTTGCAATTATAGCCCAAACATCGCGAATTATGCATAGAGAAGGGGATCGGGCCAAATAATAAGCACGCCTGTTTTGATGAAGATTGGTCAAAATTTGCGGGTAAAATGGACCTTGACTTTTGTGTGAAAAATTATAAAATTTGTATTCTATGGCGTATATATTTGCCCCTGAAGGATATAGACCCGAGAAGTTGATAGTATATCAACGGAAGTGGTTGACCTTTAAATTTAAACCGATAATATTGTCGTATGTATTCGGATGTGGGAGATACACTTAAATATTTACAGATGCTTACGTATTCAGATATCATTTAGTAACCCATTACCACTCTAGAGGGCGGAAATATAGCGCTGATTGCTTTGAAATGTTCTATGAGGTTCCAGTTATGGTCAAGACCAACGCCTATAATTTTCGGTGAAGATCAGATAATAATTTTGGGATAAAGTGTACCGAAAACTACATTTTTTGTACACAAGACGAACATCACAACACAACCCACGGGGAATGGAATATGGACATGTACCGAATATTAGAACTATTAGTGTAAGGTCTGTTGATATCTAATTGGGCAAGAGGGTGCAAATATTTCGAAATATTGCCCAGGCTCGGAATAAAAATCCGCAGAAAGTTAGAGTTCCGTGGTAGTTGGGTATGGTCGGCCCCTGCTCCGCTCACTGGTTTTCGAATTATGATTTCTTGAAATCCTTGCATTTTAGGTATATAATAACTTCGGCAATATTACTGATAAAATATCGGGGAATATTTTGGTATACACCTTTAACCCTCAACCGACACATTGAGGGGGTCTGAACGGTGGTAAAGCTGTTCAGAATATTCTACAGAAATGTTCGCCACAAAGTTTTACTATAAATCTTAGAATATACTAAAACTCAAAAATCGACCTAAACGTCAAAAATCTTTAACAAAAAAAAAAAAAAAAAACATCGTACTTACTAGTTTTTACCCATTTTTCCCACAATATGTCGTTTTAGAAGGATGGTATGGAATATTCTCCATCAACCAGTAAGGAAAGTAGTTAAGTCGGACGGGGCTGACTATATGATACCCTTCTCCACTTTGGGTATATTCAACAGATGCGTCGCATTTTCGAAGAACCATCTATATCTAAATGTGCACCATCTTGGATCAATCCATAAACATGTAACTTGTAACCTATCCTAAACTCTTCATTTGGATAGATAAATAATGAGACAAAATCATATAAATCGATTTCAAGCTAATCTCAATCGGAGACTCGTCGATTATTTGAAACCCAATAAACGTGAAGTCGGTCGAATATATGGGCTATACCTGCATTTCTAAAAAAACAATTACGTCATTCCATACTCAATTTGGCACGTTGTGCAAAATTTCGCACCAATCTTACAAAAATGAGGAGTTTGGGCCTCATTTAAGGGGACCCCCCCATTCTCGGGTTCAAAAATGTTTATGATTTAATTCGAATCTACTCTAATTCAAGAATGTCCCTACAAAATTTCAAGTGAAAATCTCAAGAACTCTTGAAGATATAGCCGATTTGTTGTGTCAACATCAAGTGACGGCTGAAGGGCTTCTCAAACTTTAAATGCGTTTTTCTCTTTTGCGAATGGCGGGCACAACAACTCAAAAACTAATAACCCAATCGATTTCAAATTTTTACACGTGAGTGTACAGCTATCGTATGAACTAGGATAAAGCCGATCGATGAAGATCTTCCTTATTTTTAACTTGGTTTTTGGTAAAAAATCGGCGATTTTCCAAAAATATGTTCTCAAAGGTCCGCCATTTTGTCAATTTTAGAGCAAAGTCAATAATCCTAGTTCATACGAGAGCCAGACATGTACTCTTTCTAACACCGTTGGAATTTTCGGATTCCGATGTTCCAGTGAGGAGTTATCATGTTCTTATAATAAGAACTTTTCTTTAATTACAAAAAACAACAACAAAACAATAACAATACTTTTTTGTAAACTATTTTTCTTCTCTTTTAAATCTTCAAATATATATATGCAAAGTTACAAA